CAAAGGGTAATTTTTTTATTTTAAAATTATATATATATATATATATTATTATATTTGATATAAAAATTTTATAATATAAAAATAATATTATTTTATTTCATATCTAATTTTATAATATATTTAAATAAAAAAATACATATTTTTTCAACCTATGACAATGACAATTTTTAGCCATTTTCTTTGCATATTGCACCTGTCACAAAAACATTGTCCCCATTGTGGGCACCCACTGACAAATAGTCTATCTTTCATCTACAGCATTTTTACTCTCATTTGGCACTTAATAAATGTTATTTTCAGATCCTGGAGTCTTAAAGTGGTTAAGACACATTTCAGAAGGACTACATAACTTCCATCTATGTGTTCCTTCTGAAACTTCCTTCAGAATAACTGGATTTTTCCTCTTTTATAACTATAACTGGCTGTACCTTTGGTTTATACTGTCTACACTCTCATTTATTTTAATGTAAAGTTCTTTAAAGCATTTATGACGAAAACCTATCAAAGCATTGCTTAGCAACTACATGATGAATCTTGCATTTGATCTTGCATTCACAGCAACCTTTGACTTTAAGAACCTCTGGCTATTTTCATCCACTCAGCTATCTATACGCTGCTCTGTTACAGAGTTCTGCTCAAATCACTGGAGCATTACACCCGTCAATTATTCAGCATGTTGTTTTGTAACCTGCCAGCAATTACCCTCTTGTACCCACAACACTGTTGTTGTGCGTTGTCCCTGTACAAATAAATTGAATAAAGAAAAAAGAAAAAATCATAAATTACACCCTCTTAATTAATTACACCTCATCGGTGGTTGCTGGAGAATTCACACTTTATATTTAATTACATTTTATAGGTACATTACCTGTAACACACATTGAAGACAGTTTGAGTGTCAAACAAAAACCTAATTCAATCAGACGTGTGTTTCTGCATGCATGGAGAATATTTTCTTGGTTTGGTCTGAAGAAATGAAGTTGAAGTGCAAAAAGAAAAAATCATAAATTACACCCTCTTAATTAATTACACCTCATCGGTGGTTGCTGGAGAATTCACACTTTATATTTAATTACATTTTATAGGTACATTACCTGTAACACACATTGAAGACCGTTTGAGTGTCAAACAAAAACCTAATTCAATCAGACGTGTGTTTCTGCATGCATGGAGAATATTTTCTTGGTCTATCTCTCTGTCTGTCTGTCTGTCTGTCTGTCTGTCTATATCTGTGTTTTAATTATCTATAAATAATTATAAAGTAATATTAAATTATAATATTTTAAAATATACAATATTAAGTATGATTTCTTTATAAATATTATAAATATATATGCATAATAAGTTACCCTGTATTAAAGTATTTTCAGTGATGGGTGAATTAAAACATTTAATTTATTATAATACAAATATTATACAGTTATTTATAAATAATTACAAATATTAAATTGTAATATTTCTAGATATATATTACAAAATATTGTTTGTTTCAAAATATTACAAGTATATATGAAGAGTCACCATGTATGAATGTACTGTATGAATGTATACTGAATGTATGTAATTTTACATACTGGTAAAAAATGTATAGCCTGAATGCACTGTAAGTCACTTTGGATAAAAGCGTCTGCTAAATGCATAAATAAATAAATGTATTTTTTCCACAGGTGCCAATGATGCGTGATTTGAGAAAATTTAATTTCTTTTACTTAATTTTTTATTTTTATGTAAAAATGTAATATATGTAACATAAATATATTAATATATATTTTTGTCCCTGTAACAACAGAATTATTTAGCTTGTTTTTGGTGGTTTAATATGAAGAATAATACACTCTTGCTCTGTATTTTTATGAGATATAACCTAGAACTCCTTCATACTTTCTTTCTTTCTCCCTTTTCCGTTCCTCTCAAGGGAATGTATTATGTACACTAGTTAATTAATTTTCTTGTCAGAATACAGTCAGGGATGTTTGTGTAAAGGTCACATGTAGCAATAAATCACATGAAAGAATATGTTGGGGAAGATGTGAACAGGTGGCATTTTCTAAAACAACATCTGAGCTTCAGTATCAGTTCTGCTGTGGTGATAATGGTGCTTCCGAACAGTGGAGATGCACAGATGTCACTTCAATGGTAAAATGTGTGTGTTTTCTTATTAATATTATTTTGGTGTCTAGAAATGTTCTGAAACCCCAATGCAAGGTATGATGCTTTCACAGAATCACAGTGAAGCACAGCTTCATTTGGGCTCTAGGGCTGTATGTCTGCAGAAACTTACACGCAAATTAATGTAGATCAAAGTGGAAGTTTATTGAAAGAACAGTGCAATAGTGTTGGTTGATATTTTGTGCTATTATTTTCTGTAATATTGAAATACACCAAGAGTGGTATGTAAAGTATAGAATATTCGTACATAGATACATGTCATGGCTTCATTTTGATTAAATTTTAGGAGAAAAAAACAGAAATTCAGAAGTGTGTGTGTGTGTGTGTGTGTGTGTGTGTATGTTTTAGATATCAGGGGTCTCAGTGTCTTTCTGAAGGGTTGGGTCTCTTTCAGCAGCAGCTGTCTGACTAGAATTCTGCCAGTCAAAACTCCACTAACACTCCCCAAAGAACTCATTTATTTAGTAGGAATAAGAAAGAGAAGAGATTGTTAAATCTGATAGTATTTTATGGAGAGAAAATGAAAACCGCCAGTGGCACTAAATCATCAGAGATGGAAAAACGAAAGAATAGGGTAAAAAGAGGGAGGGAGGGTAAAAAGAAAGACTTCCTTTTTGAACTATGCTAATTGTTATTTTAAAATTAATTCCACCTGTATCTTGATAAATTGCTTTGAGACGCTTTATAATTCCAAGATGATTGGAACTGCAGGGTTGTTCGCCATTCAGAACTGAACTGAGACGCATTTTCAATTGAAGTGAGGCAGAAAACAGGATGCAGAATTGACATTCTGAATCTAATGAAATGCATTAAAATTCAAAGAAAGTCATATATGACTGTATTTTTAACTTTGAAGCAAAGTTTATCAAGACAAACTGAATGATGGTTTTACAATGGATGGCTGGATAGAACAACAGGCGATGGATGGATGGATGGATAGAACAACAGGCGATGGATGGAAGGATGGATAGAACAACGGGTGATGGATGGAAGGATGGATAGAACAACGGGTGATGGATGGATGGAGCAACAGGTGATGATGGATGGATGGATGGATGATTGGATAGAACAACAGGTGATGATGGATGGAGCAACAGGTGATGGATGGATGGATGGAATGGAATGGATAGAACAACAGGCAATGGATGGATAGATAGATAGATAGATAGGTAGATAGATAGATAGATAGATAGATAGATAGATAGATAGAACAACAGGTGATGGATGGATGGACGGATGAATGGATAGATGGATGGATAGAACAACAGGCGCTGGATGGATGGATAGAACAACAGGCGATGGATGGATGGATAGATAGAACAACAGGTGATGGATGGATGGATGGATGGGGCAACAGGTGATCGATAGATGGATGGATGGATGGAGCAACAGGTGATAGATGGATGGATGGATGAAGCAACAGGTGATGATGGATGGATAGAACAACAGGTGATGGATGGATGGATGGATGAATGAAATGGATAGATGGATGGATAGAACAACAGGTGATGATGGATAGAACAACATGTGATGGAAGGATGGATGGAGCAACAGGTGATGGATGGATGAATGGAATGGAATGGATAGAACAAATGGAGCAACAGGGGAGGATGGATGGATAGAACAACAGGTGATGGATGGATGGATGGAGCAACAGGTGATGGATGGATGGATGGATGGATGAATGGAATGGATAGATGGATGGATAGAACAACACGTGATGGATGGATGGATGGATAGAACAACATGTGATGGAAGGATGGATGGAGCAACAGGTGATGATGGATGAATGGAATGGAATGGATAGAACAACAGGTGATGATGGATGGATAGAATAACATGTGATGGAAGGATGGATGGAGCAACAGGTGATGATGGATGAATGGAATGGAATGGATAGATGGATGGATAGAACAACAGGCGATAGATAGATAGATAGATAGATAGATAGATAGATAGATAGAACAACAAGTGATGGATGGATGAATGGATAGATGGATGGATAAAACAACAGGCGATAGATAGATAGATAGATAGATAGATAGATAGATAGATAGATAGATAGAACAACAGGCAATGGATGGATGGATAGATAGAACAACAGGCGATGGATGGATGGACAGATACAACAACAGCCGATGGATGGATGGATGGATGGATGGATGGATAGATAGATAGATAGATACGATAGATAGACAGACAGACAGATCAGTATGATAGATAGATAGATAGATAGATAGATAGATAGATAGATAGATAGATAGATAGACAGACAGACAGACAGA